CCTGTAACTTTTGTAAGTTTCAAGATGAAAAATCGTTACAGACGAGCATACATACACACACACACACAGATAACTCTTCGTCAGTATGCGTTTTCTGCATTGCACAGATGCAGAAAACGCATAAAAACGGATAAAAAGGAAGGAGAAGAGAAAGTGTCAGTCTGTTGTTGATCGTATTTTCCTGAATACCTTATGGTGATTTTGTATGGCGGTGCTACTATTTTGAAGTTGTCGATGAATGTTCATCATTTTGACCGGGTTGTATAAATGGCTACAATAAATTTTTGAATTTTCCTCTTTGTCAGTTTGCTCTGATCAGTTGCCATTTCTGCTCTGTTATCACAGTTGGAACGATAGAATTTTGTTCATTAAGCATTAACTGGGAATTTACGGGTGAATAATTGTATAGCTTTTGAATATGCGCGCGATTTTTAGCAGTAAATGTGCTTGACTTCATTGCATTGATTGCATCCTAAAGTATTCCAGCATGCTTAATCTTATTTGGATAAATGCAGCAGTTTTACTTGTAAATGTTACTGTGTGTATTTTGGGTGTAGCTTTCTGTGGTTTTTTGGAAAACTTTTTTCGAAAGACTCTAAGACATTAATAATTTTTGTTTAATTATTTTAGCTGCCCTGCATCAAGTCTGTTGGTGTCGCGTTGGCCGTGTCGCAACACCAACAGTTTCATCCAGCAATGTCCTCCTCCTCCAGTACAGAAGGTTGGTGCTCATTTTTTCCCTTAAAGAATGTGTTCTATGTTTTTTTTGGTGCTAAGAGTCCTAAATAACTTGGGTTCTAAAAGAAATGGACCCTGGAAGGGGGCAATTTCCTCGAGTTTTTGAACTGGTTGGACTGGGTGAGCTCAGAAGCTGCAAGAGTAAAATATTGCTTATTACGTTGATGGCAGTGAGGGAAAATACCAGAGGAGCATGTGAGCTGTCCGAGATTTTACTTTTAAAGTTATAAAAAAGTTCAGTGCTGAAATGGCAGCGTTTCTTCTGTTCGGCGGGCATACCGGCAGCGATCGCGGCGAAATATTCGAGATCGTTCGCTGAGCAACGAGTCCAGTTTACGATGCTGGAGGACCTTGACAAGGCAACACTTATTGATTTAGGTGTCAATACCATTGGTGACCAGGTACGTACGTTCGGTATAAAAACTGTTGATGCCTTAGCTTCTTCGAAGATACTTGTGGCCTGTTTCCTGAGAAAAGTATGCTTTACCAAACTAAAATTTCTAATTCACGTTATCCTGCTCTTTGTTTAGCGGATTACAGCCTTGAAAAGATGTATTTTGGTGTCAAGTACTGGCATTCAGATGAACATGAGAG